CTCTCCCTAGTAAATATTTCCCTCGTGGGTGCATACCCAAGGCACTGTTCTCATGCTGATAGGGTCTGAGGTTCCAGGTGGTTTAGAGAATTTGTCTCTGAAAGGCCTAAGTCTTTTGCTCTGCTGGGGCTGGGGTAGCGATTAAGCCACACCTGAGGATGATTATGGAGTTTTTCCCGAGAAAGGGGGGTGTCCCCCCAGCAGCTCAGAGGGGGAGATAAGTACCTGCTCTTTTAGAGGAGAGTTTCTCTGTTCCAAAATTGCAAACCACGCTATGTAATTTCAGCAAAGGATATTCAGGGGCTTGTTCAGAAGAGGCATTGAAATAAAATAATCCATTTATCAAGGTGCCTTTTGTTTCAAGAAAAAAGAAACAATGCGCCATATTTAGCAGAGAGAGACATTCTGTGTCTGGAGAATGTTAATAAATCACCAACCGGGAGAGAGGGAGAAAACCTCAGAATACTTGAGTCGACTCATATTTCAAGTAAGTGGTGGTAACTTGGAAGGAAAATCCCATCAGGGTTTTCCTTGAGGTGAATGGAGGCTGGCCTTTTCCCGTGGGGAGGGGGGTGGAGTCTGATACCAGGTGGGTCAGTGGGAGGCATCCGTGGCCCCGTGGCCCCCCAGACTCGTGGAAGGGCCCGCCCGCTGCTCTTGGTGCCTGAATCTTTTCTCATACAGATGTCGCCCGATCCTTTGCACATCTCTGTGGCCTTGAAAACTTTCTACTCTAACTTATCAGCATGACTGGAACAAATGGTGATAGTAATCATACTAAGAAGGATAATAATATAATAGCAACAGCATCCTTCCCAGCGCTCGGGCACCTTCTCTCCAGGGGTACTTTGCTTATTGCCTTCTGTGACTTGGTGCTGATATGATTCCCTTTATAGAAATGAGGTTGCCAAAGGTCTAAAGTTTAAGGTATTTGCAAAAAGACCCACGAAACAACAACACCAACAAAATCTTTATCTAGTACATTGTGGAGCAGGGATTCCTTGGGTTTTGTCTGACGTCAGGAAGGCCCTTAACCCACAAGGATACCTTTCCTCTCCCTGGATGGAAGAGGGTTTGGCCCAAATCCTTCCTCTATCTCATTTGTACCTTGGATGAACCATGAACACCTTGCACGTGAATCGGGTTAGATCAGGCTTCCTCAGCCTCAGCTCCACCGACATTTAGGACTGGACACTGTTTGTGGCGGGGGCTGGTCCTGTTAGCATCACTGGGTTCCGGCCTCTAGATACCGGGAGCTCCCCCAGCCCCCAGCTGTGAGAACCAGAAATGTTTCCAGGCGTTACCAGGTATCTCTCGGGGGCAAAAGTCGCCCTTAGTTGAGGACCCTTTGCACAGCCTGAGACAATACTGCTCATGCATTTGGGTGATTCCAGTGATTTTTTTTTTTTTACTTAGAGTTCAAATACACTGACTTTTCTAGGTGTTTGCTTTCCTGTTTGTAAAATGAGCAGATATCTGCACCTTTTTTTTTTTTTTAAATCTCTCAGACAATGCTTTAAAATCAAACATGAGGATGTAGAACCAAATCCAGTGCAAACTCCTCCCCTCTGGATAGTCTTTGAAGGGCCCGTGCACCGTGGTGTTTGTTTTTACATTCTCCAGTTGAAGAGGAAAGCAGGACCTTGCATTTTTACCACGCACCCTACGGGCACCCAGGTCTTACTGCCGTCAGAGCCAACTCTGGCCCCCCTCCCACGCTCCTAGACCGACCTCCTCACACGCCGAGGCCCCGAGCCTCTCCTGGAGGGATCCCCTGCTCAGGCCCCCTCCTGGGGTCCTCTCTCCAGCCTGGCCAACCCACACATCCCAGCCCAGAGAGAACCAGCTCCGAAGAACCTGCCCCCGTCAACACATCGACAAGTGAGCATCATGATGAAGGTGACGCGTCATGCGGGCTGAAAGGGTCATTTCCCACCCCTGGTGTTATTCTGTCTGGGTGCTAAGTGACATGGACTTCTGTGTTCACTATCTCAGAATCTCAAAAACTCAATTTCCGGCCACAGCTCTGCCGCAGAGTTCTCTGATGAACACCTGACGGAGGGCACGGTATCCCCAGCACAGATAAAGAAAATGGATAAACAGGGGACACAGATAAAGAAAATGGATAAACAGGGAGGCAGACAGCAAATGAGTGTGCCGTCTGCAGGGAGCCCAGATAAGAAGGTGTGTCTGTCAACGGCCCCCCTGTTCCCTCTCCCGTGGCCTTAGGAAACCAGCATCGGACTTTTCCAGGGTTATTGTTTCAGATCGATAAAAATTACCGAATAATCCTATCTTTCTGGGAGATGGTGTGAGCAGATGCACCAGAATGAGAGGGTGGATATTTGTCTGTGCTCACTGGGTCCCAGCAGCCAGGAGATGGTTCCCTGGCAATCAGCAGATAAAGTGTCAGGAAAGAAATACAAGGACGGCTGGTAATCACCTCTGCTTCCTTCCTCCCCTGGATCAGGGCTCCCCAGAGTGTGAGATGAGTTGAGGTGATCGACAAGAGTCAAGGCGTGGGAGGGTACAGATGGGCACAGGTCCTGGGGGAGCCGTTCTCATGAGCGTCCATGGGGTTGGTGTTTGAGGTGCATGGACATGGGGTGAAGCCACCTGAGTCTCACAAATGAGAAAGCGATTCCCCTTTCAATTGTTTGAATTATTCTAATTTCATCATGCGGAAAAGTCTCATTTTGGTGTCACTGTGTCTTGAACACCTTACACTCAGTAACCTCCCCATTTAACAAAGAAATGGCAAATGTCAGGCTCAGAGCCATAGACTGGCAACAATTTGGATCATGGGATCCTGTGTTGTTATTTATACGAGGATTATCTAAATGCATGTATTCACTAATTCACTGGTATTTGATTAAGTATTTACTTTAATAAAGTATTAGTTATTGATAAAAATCATTGTTTAGCAATGCATAAATATCTGGCTGATGTCATGAAAGTACTCTCTGAATGTCTGAGTTTAGGAGACATTGTCTGGAACATTGTGTGTGGAGGGAGATGTTCCTGGCAGTCATGGGAATGCATATGCTCAAGAAATTCTCGTTTTTTGAAGATTTTCGTTTTTTTAGAGCAGTTTTAGATTCACAGCAAAATTGAGAGGAAGGTACAGAGAGTTCCCATGTACCCAAAGTCCGTGGTTTACATTAGGGTTCACTCTTGGTGTTGTACGCTCTGTGGGTTTGGACAAATGTATAAAGACACGTGTCCACTGTTGCGGTATTGTACAGAGTATTTTCACTGCCCTTAAATTTCTCTGTGCGGTATTCATCGGCCAAAGTAAATCACACGGCCAGCATAGATCCAAGGAGGTCAATAGACACTTCCTCTTGAAGGGAGGGTTGCAGGGCCACATGCAAAAGTGTAGATGCAAAAGGAGAATTGGAGCTGTTTTTAATTGTTCTACACAGCTTCTGTTATATCCCATATATCTGACTCTTTCTACCTATTATCTGTCTGTTTACCTATGCACCCATCCATCCCCCCATCCAACCATCCATTCACCCATCCATCCATCCTTCTATCCACCTTCTGTCCATCCATCCATCCATCCATCCATCCACCCACCCACCCTTCTAGCCATCCATCCATCCACCTATCCATCTATCCATCCATCCATCCATGGAAACTAAAACTCCCAGAAGGTAAGAACTTGCTCAAGAACACATGATGGCTGACTAGATCAACCCTCAATGCCTCCATGACCAACCTTCATGCCCTTAACCACCATACTAGACCCACTTTCTTCACCATGTTTGTCTCTTCTTGCTCACGTTAAGTCTCTCATGAACTGGAAAAACCAGAACTGGGGTCAGCAGGAAGGTAAGATCAAGGCACTTTTTTCTCCATGAGAGGGAGCAGGAGCGACCTACTTAAATAATGGAGAAAGGAGACAGTTGGAAAGCAGGCCCACTCCAGCTTTTTTATAGAAAACAAACTCAGCATTTACTAAAAAATAAAGAGATTCATATTTTAGGCTTTTGGGGGAGAACCCAAAAAAAGTAGAAAAAGGGAATCCCTACACACAGAGAGAGTGAAGAACGAGGAGAAAGCTTGTTGGCAGTGCTTCCTGTGACAGGGGTATATCCTGCCCTGCCCCTGCAGATCCTTCAGAGAGCCCATCCCCGCCCCTGTCCCTGTCCCCAAACGAATCAGTCTCTAAATCTCCACACTTCGCGGTTTAAGAGCCTTTTTGGAGAGGGATGGGTACACTAGAACAAAACATCTGATGTGGCGATTTAGTTTGGTTTTTACAAAATATTGTAAGTCGCTTAAATAATCCATGGCCTTTTTAAGGACATGGAACCAGTACTCCTTCTGGGATGTTCTACTCTGGTGGGGCCTTTTGAGGGTGATTTCACCTGGTTCTGGAACGAGAGGGTTAAAATGGAAGTGCAGACACATCCCTCAAAGAGAGAGGGGCCAGCACCCTTGCTCCTGGGGGCCTCAGAACAAAGCCTCTGGTGGAGAACAAGGGGGGATGCTGTTTCTTTGAAAAGCCGTCTTGACAACCCAAGCCCTCTTGGCTGCGGCAACACCCGAGGCAGCTTTGATCTGCTAGCCAGCGTCCCTGCCGAGGAGAAGGATTAGGGGAGCTTCCAGAGGAGAGAGGTGCAGGTCGCCCGTATGCTGGATGGGCCGCACCTGCTGCCTTCAGAGGACGGCCAGCAGGGGAGTGTGGAGCAGCTGGAGGAGAGAGAACTTTCTGCTCTCTCCCTGTATGAACGGGGGCACATTTGCGTTTCTGGGCTGGTTTTCAAAAACAAGGGCACGTCCGTGGGCTTTGGGGGGCTTTGCAAAGTAAGCCACCGGGCACTTTAACCTCTTTGTCTGTGCGTGTAGCAAGTCCTTAGTGAGCCGTCCACAGTGTAAGAGGAAGCCATGGGGGGTCTTTAGAGAGGAGAACCTTCGGGCGGCAAGGAGCCTGCTGGTTGTACGGCTGTCCACGTCTGTGATGGACAGAGGAGGGCAGAAAGGCAGGGGTGATGCTCTTGCCCATCACGACGCTGAGCTCCAGCCCCCAGGGTGGGACGGCTTACCAGGCTGCGGATTCCAGTCAGAGCTTTCCAACTCAGATGCACCTGCCAGTTACAAGAGGTAACTGAACTGCTGAGTGACTTCTCCCCTCGTTCCCAGGTGGGCATAACACCCAAATGTTGCCAGGTCCTCCCATGTGTAAAGAGAAGCTGGAGACCCAGATGCTTCCCTTCTTTGTTCAAGATGGTTCCCATTCTCAGCGATCTTCTAAAATACCGTGGGCCAAAGAGAGCCCATCCCCAGGCTGGGTTGTGTGCCATAAGCCAGCAGTTTGTAGTATTTCCCAGTGCTCCATGTTTCCCTTTGGCTTCATGAATTTGTTGTTATGTGAAAGATTTTAAAAAATTTTTGCATAGGGGAGTTTATCACTTTTTTAAATTGCATTTGGATTTTGAGTCATAATTAGAAAGCTTTCCCTACACCCAGTTCATGAAGGCGTTCATCCGTTGTCTTCTTTTAGTACTGGAAAAATTTTATTTCCTTATGTCTAGATCACTGATTCACTTGACATTTATTCTTGTGTATGGTGTGAGGTATGGATCTAATTGTATCTTTTTTTTTTAATTGTATCTTTTGTTTCAAGTGTCTAGCCATTTGTCCTGGAACCATATATGCAAAAGTCTCTCTTTGCCTCATGACTTGGCTGCTGTCTTTATCACGTGCTAAATTTCCAGGCGTACGTGAGTTTATTTACGGACTCATCCATTCCATTGGTTTGTTTTTCTATTCATGTACCCATGTCATTAAATATGCTTTAAACTTGCAAATTATTAATAAATATCCCAACTCCACACTCGTGGGTATCTTGCCAGCTTTCTGCTCAGTGACATTATGAAATCGTCACTGTTCGACCATTCCTAACGTGCAAAAATCTACATTTCGTTGGCTTCAACCTAATACAAGTATATAATTTGCAGAGCATATAGTCCTCTACTGGCTGATCCCAGGAGTACCATGGAAATTCTAGCCAAGTGGGCTTCGGAACGTTCTCCTCATTTCTAAATTGCTTACAGACCTACTGTCCAAGGAGTCCAGCGGTAACCCCATCTTTGTCTTTATCTTTTCTTTCTTTGCCCCCTGCAGTGATAGAGGGCCGAGGGGTCACAGACAACGTGCCGCGGTTCTCCTCGCTGCCGCCCTTCCTGCCTGTGAGCTACCACATCCTCGGAGCAGAGACCTCCTTCTTCCTGAAGGAGACCAACCAGGACGTCATGCGCAACTCCAGCCTGCACACCAGGGTGGAGTCCTTCTTCACATACAAGGCCAAGAGGCCCCCGGTACTCAACGCTAGCTACGGGCCCTTCTCCGTGCAGAAGGTCGTGCCTCTGGAACTGATGGTCACTTCGAACTTTCTAGGTCCAACCAGTAAATTCGGTCTCAACTGGAAACTGAAGGCGCACATCCTGCGGGACAAGGTGTACCTGAGCCGGCCCAAGGTGCAGGTGCTCTTCCACGTGCTGGGCCGGGACTGGGCGGCGCAGAGCCCCGGCGAGAGGCTGCCCTGCCTGCGCGTGTTCGCCTTCCGCGAGACCCGGGAGGTGCGGGCCGGCTGCCGGCTGCAGGGGGCCCTGGGGCTGTGCGTGGCCGAGCTGGACCTGCTGGCCGCCTGGTTCGGGCCCCCCAGCGTGGTGGCCGGGAGGAAGAAGGCGCCCGGGCCGCCCGAGGGGAGCCCCGTGGAGCTCTACTACTCCGTGCAGCCGGGGGACGCGCGCGGGGACTGTGCGGCTGGCGACGTCCGGAAGGGCAACGCCATCCGGCCGGGGAAGGACGGGCTGGACGAGGCCGTGCCCCACCTGCAGAGGATCGGTGCTGTCAGCCTCTATCGGGTCCAGGACACTGCCCAGCTCAGCGAGCTGCGTTTGGACAGCAACGTGGTCATCTGGCTGCCCTCCCGGCCAGTCAAACAAGGAGACGTGGTCACCGCCTATGTCACCATGGCCAGCAATTCCACCGTGGACCTCTTCATCCTGAGGTAGGTGCCCAGGGTGGCCCCGGGCAGTCTTGTGTGTGCTTCCTGTGAGGTGGGGCTGGACGCCTGGGGTTTCGCTACCTTCAGGGACCCTCTGGCTTCACAGTGAAGCCAAATTCTGCACTCGGCAGCGCCTCTTACATCATGGATTAGGGGACGGGGGAAGGGGGCCAGAAACCGAATCCAAAAGAAGCAAGGGTAAAAGAATCACTGTCTTTTGACCTTGAGTTGTCATCGAACTTGGAGAAGGATGTGATTTTTCTTTAGCTTTGAATTCTTTTGTAGATATACAGATACTTGTTGCATGAATGAGAGTATATTTTTGCAGAGCCCAAGAAGACACATGGGGTTTATGGTATTTATGATATTTTTACTTTGGGTGTATGTGTGAAAAAGGGCAAGGATGCATGCACCCTTTAAAAAAACTTTTTGGTGAGGTTCAGTGTTGCCAAGTCGGGGCTGTGGGAACCTCAGTTCCTGAGCACAGCGTAGCTGTGATTAAAGGAGTCTGCCCAACAGAGAATTATTGCGCAGAGGTATTCCATCTCCTAAAAAAAGAAAGAACAGAAAATAAATTGAAACAACGGAATAACCCACCTGCCGTCACCGCTGCTGGCTCAGCAGATTTCGTGAGTTCTAATAGGGCTACTGTGTCACTGCATGATGCTTCTGAGGTCGGTCTGGGAGCATCTGCTCTCCGAAGATTATCAATACCGGAGAAAAGCCACTTACAGCAAATCCTCTTAAAATGTGGACCAGGATTTCATAATAATGAGAAAATATTTGAGATTTGTTTAAAAGATAAAGATGATAAAAATTGTGGGGTTTTTTTTTTTTGTATTCTGGTGAAAAAGGACTTAGGTCATAATTACGGCTCTTCCTTGGTTCTTTTTTATCTTTATTTATTTTTTTTTAAGATTATTTATTTATTTATTTATTTGAGACAGAGAGAATGAAAGAGAGAGAGCACATGAGAGGGGGGAGGGTCAGAGGCAGAAGCAGGCTCCCTGCCGAGCAGGGAGCCCGATGCGGGACTCGATCCAGGGACTCCAGGATCATGACCTGAGCCGAAGGCAGTCGCTTAACCAACTGAGCCACCCAGGCGCCCTTGGTTCTTTTTTAAAATAAAAGAATTAATCGCATGTTGAATGAGTTGCTTGGGAAAATATCTGCAAAATAGAATGATAGCATTTTATACCGTATTTCTTTTTGTTTTAAGTTTTCTCGTATAATATCAAGAATGGTTGTTTTTAAAAGCTTTGTTTGTGTTTGTTTTCACAAAATGCACTCCAAGTGTTTCTCAAGGCATTTCTTCATCCTTCAGATTTGAATAATGCTCTTCTAGAATGTCTATCTGTTCATCGTCCTTGACATGTTTTCTTTCAACTTTTAAGTGGGCTCATTTGACCAGATCCTCCCTTGCCGGTGTGTTCTGGATAGGATCGAGAACTTCTACATCGTGATCAGTGATGGTATGAAATCCTCCATCGTTCACAAGAGACAAAGTTTGCCCTGCGGGGGTTCCCATTATGTCCATACTCTCAGCCTCAGCGCCCAGCCTGGCACCTGCTGAGTGTGGGAGGAGGGATGCCCCTCCCCGTCAGGGCGCCGGTGGCTTGGTGGAAATGTCCACCTTTTAACTGGGGCCAGGAAAGCAAATGTTTAGATAGGAGGATCCGGGTTTTGCTTCCTCCTGCCTTGGCTGGGAAAGACACTGATCCGCAAGGTTTGAGTTTTGTTTTCCCTGGGTCCCTCGGCATACTCTGTTTCAGATCATTTCATTGTAAAATAAGTATATACAACCCTGGCTTTGGAAAGTAGATGCAGAAGACAGGGATGGTTCCACTAACATGCTTCACAATTCCAGAGTCATAATTATCTTCGCACTTGGACTGATCCTTAACTTCGCTTTCAGAAACGCAGGCTCTGTGGTCCACCCGGGGCGGGTTTGAGTAAGTCACCAGGTCTCTGGGTCCCAGGAGGTACAGGGCCTTCAGCTGCTGGTGGGCCCCCCAGACCTGCTTCGTTGGACAGGAGGGGATGTTTTCTGTATTTGTCATCATTACGGGCAGGAACGGTGGTGAGGATCAGCTCCTGCAAACAATTGGCTCAGCTCTGAGCCTGTCTCCTGCACTTCCTGGCTGTGGGACTGTGGGCAGCTCACCTGACCTCTGGGTACCTCTGTTCCCTCATCTCTACATCAGATGTCTTCACAGCATCTCCTGCTGTGGGGGTGAGAGGCCCCCGAGGGCCAATATTTATTTCTAAGGTGCTTATGACAGCGCCTGGCCCATAAAAAATATGTTTATGAATGTTGAATGTCACTAACAGGGGTTGTGTTTAAACATCCATCAGAACTTCCCTGAGCACTGAATTCTGTTTTAGCAGTAAAAGGACTCCATGCCTTGCATAAAACCATAGCCACCAGGTCTGTTCTCGATGCTGTGTTGATTCCCACCTCACCGTGATTTTGTTTAAAGAGCAAAACTTTTTTTTTTTTTTTTTTTAATGACAAGCGCTTTGGAGCACAGAGGGCGGAGATGGCCTGGTTCTGGGGTGGGTGTTGCTTAGGGCCGTGAGGTGCAGCCGCCCTGTTTCTGCCTTCCCGATCATTCCAACACAGACCTGAGCCCTGGGGGAGAGGTGGAGGAGACACGGCGTCCCGGATGTGAAGCCGAAGGATGCTGCTGCCATGACTGATGAGCAGGGCGTGGGGGAAGGAGGTTTTCCCTTCCAGAGAACGTAGTTAATTGTAACTTAGTTAAAAATAATGAGTTCATTTTTCAGTGAATTGTTTCAAGGACGGAATATCCAGTAAGAGAATGCAAGAGGATGTACGTAGATGCAGGACGGACGGTGACTCCATGTGAGTGTGTGTGCTCAGGGGACCCACGTGCCTCCATGGCCTCCAGCCATGGCTGTGGGTTGGATTGCAGGGAAATCCATCTTGCCCGTCTCGGGGACCTTTCTACTGAGAAATTCGGGGGGGTTGGCAGGAGAACTTGAAAGACCTCTGCTGACTATGAAATCCAGAGGCGTTCGGCTTCATCACCTTGTACAATGGCTTTGATGACAAGGCTATATTTGGAGACAGCCAGGACGTTTTCGGGATTTTTATAGGGCCAGGTGCCTATTTGGGAACCTGGCTGAGGCCTCCTTTATAAGATCGTTTTCACGAATGATGCTGTCTTCCATGGGCCCAAAGCATCAGCCTGCTTTTGGCTCGCGACTTCGTGAATTTAATCCAAAGGCGTCAAGGTGTGGAAAGTTGAAGCTTTGTTTCCTGTAGTCATAGTGATTTGGGAAACCTATTTGAGAAAATAAGAAATCATGATCGCCAACATAAATGAAAAACGCATAACCAGATGTGTTCCGCAGACGCCTCGAAGTGTGTCCAGTCATGGGAGTGGGCCCCTTGGCCCTTGGCTTAGAGCAAAGCACAGAGCAAAGGCCCAGCAGATATTTATGGAATTCATGCAACACCAAATACTTGCCATCAAACCTAGATCACAAACCTTCCTTTTCATGGAGGTTTTCCTTCATGACTGACTGAGGCTTCTTGAAATCAATCTCAAGATTCCTTACAGCAAGCAGGGGCATGCCTCGCTATTCCGATGGCTTCCGGAATACACCGACGATCAGAGCCATCAGCCCTGAAAATGCCCTTTGCCACCCCCCATGCCTGGATGCCACGAAGGCCTCGGGATGCCGAGGATGGCACTTGCCCCGGACCCCTGCTTCCTCGAAGCTCTGTGTTAGACGGAGTTTGCACAACTTCTTCCTGTTTGGGATCGATGTTCACTTTACCTCAGGGGGTCTTGACCTTGCAGGCCACTAGCGGGGAGAGCGGGGGAGGCTGCTGCACCTCAGCCTCGTCACTAAGTAACTGGAATTGATGCCTACAAGGCCAAGGAGGTGGCTCAGCGTCCTCCGCACCCGAGAGCAGGCCTGCTTCGTTGTGTCCAAAGTTCAGGAAAAAAAAACAAAACAAAACAGAAGTTAAACCGATGAATCACTGAAGTTTATTGTGAACACACCCAAAGGACAGTTTGCATGCCGGGAGCCCTGGAAGCAAAGCCCGGAATGAGGCTCGGAGTTGGAGGGGACGGGGCGGGGGCGCGGTTTGCATGTCTGTTAGAAAGCAGGCAGCTCCCAGAGCCCGGAGGCAGGGACCAACTATTCTTCCCTGACATTGTTCACAATATGAGAATTTCCTTAAATGAAAGGAAAGGGGTTAGTGGTGACCTCCTGTCAATTTGGGGGAAACATTTAAGGCTTGCTTATGATTTTCCGAGGCATAAGCAAGCAATGACCCAGGTCAAGGTGGCCTCGCTTGTCTTGCCAAGCAAGCTGGATTAAGCTCTGCTTGTGTGACGAAACTGGGTTTGTCAGCTCAAGGAGTTTTTAAGGCTGGGCTCTGTTGTTGGTGGGTGTCTTTAACATCCCCCCCACTTTGGGTCAGTCCCTCAGTGAACTGAGAACCTGAGCAGCTGGTATGGCATTCCTGTCACTACCCCTGATGATGCAGCCCGGCTGAGGACTCCCAGGGCCCCCTGCACCAACAGGTTCATCACCGTCTCGCACACGGGTGGTCAGATCATTGAGTTCCCCAAGGTATCTGATCCTGATGGACGTCATGTGATGTGTGAGTGACCGTCAAGGGGCATTTAAAACCCTTGAGAGGAGACAGAGGTCAATCTGATGACCTTAGGACAACAGTAGCCAAGGAATGAACCCCCCCCTCCCGCCAGAGCAGATTCCGAAAAGCCAAGATCTAACCAACTAAGCAACTCCATTGGGTTATAATCAGATTCAGGTTTACCTGTCGAAGTTAAACCACAACACGAGGTGTTAGCAATCGCCTCTCCTCATGGTCACTTAGGGCCGGATGAACATGCGAATGATTCATTTCAGGAGGTGGTACTGTAACCAGGTCTAAACCAGGTCTCTGGCTGATGGGAGCAATCGGTCATTTAATAAGAGACATCTCTTTGGAAATAAAA